AACCTTTTAAACCTACAATACAAATTCCATAAATCGATGGACTGTTATTAGTTTATATAAATTTGCGTTATGAAATTTTTGATTACTATCAAACCATTGACGAGATATTCCACATATTGTACTATTAAGTATTTTCATAATTTCGTGTTCATATAAGGAAATTGGTATTTTAGATTCTAAAAACCGCTAGGAATTTATTGGTTTTATTATGATGTGCGTAAATTGTTTAGTTTCTGGCGAACCGAGGAATGTATTGGTGTTACTATAATGTGATCTTTTTTTTATTAATTATAAAAGACAACACTTAAAATCTTTATAATGATTAAATAGGCTAATAAAATAGTACTAGGCGTGATAAACGTGAGAGAAATTTTTCATAGACACTACGGGTTTTGCGTTGCCAAAGATTTAAAATATCGCGTGATCACTTGCTTTTAAGACGCCGGGGAATGTTGTCTGGGATTTTGCGAGATGAACGTTTGGAAATAAGGGGCTTAGCTCGGTTGAAGGAATTTGTGTGGAGTTTATTGTAATAATAGGAAGCAAGTGTAGATATTGCTGGAAAGTTAATGTCATAATAAATAGTACGATTGCTGATGTACCAGGAAAAATTAGACTATTAGAGAGGCCATGAAGAGATATTGCTAGGAATAACTGAAATATTATTATATTTGAATTATTTGCAGTTCTTCAATGTTTATACAATACATTTTTCCCAGAATTCATACTCCGATCAAAAAATGACAAAACACTCTTGATGTTTCATTTTGGATCTATTTGGTGCATTTGAGGAATACATTTTGGTCTGTTTGTAGTTTGTTGCTATTTATAGACATTTTAATTTTGTGAGTCTTGTACGCAATTTTTATTCGGTAGGTACTCTGTTGTAAAATTGTTAGACTTGAAAAGAAATTCTTCAAAATTTAACAGGAGGTTTATTAATAGTATTACTTTGTAGTAATAAAAAAAAATTAATTTAATGTAGTATTTTTTTTTATAAAGGAATTTTAATAACAAATTTTGAGGAAAATCGTTTAAGTAAAACAAATATGCGGAACGAATCTAATTTTTTTTTTTTAACATACGTATATTACCAATTTAAGAACGATGGTAAAGTCAAAATTAAGCGGACTAACTAAGTTTCGAAATTATAGCTTTTTGAATTTCTGGTAGCATACGGATATTACATATTATGTTAAATAACTCTATATTGTCCTACTTTAAGCATATTTGTCTTGATCTAATGGTTATTTATGTTTTTTATCATTCTAGGAGATTCGAGTTCAAACCAATGAATCGAAAAAAAATGTTTGCATTTTTTTCCCTATTACTTAATTAAGAAAAAAATAAATGCATTTTGGATGTACCTAGAGACCCAAACCATTGTTCCCTCGGGCTATTTTAATCGCAAAATACCCCTCATTTTGTTGTGCAAACTTTTCTACCAGAAATATTGCCCCGATGTATAAAGTGTAGCTTATTTTCTGAAAGGAAATTTTATCTCCATGGTAATTTAGGAAGGTAATTTTTTGATTTTTCAAGCAGTTTTCTTTATATATGAAAAAGCAGACATAAAATGTCGGAAAATATTCGAAATGTAGGTATTAGTAAAAAATAATTACGATCTTTTATTTCTGTAGACAACTCTTCTACCAGCAATTTTACTCTAGTTTACAATAATATCATATTTTCTGAAAGAAAATCTGACTGGGAAAGTACTTTAAGGATTTAAAGATTTTTTTTTTGAAATTGTCTGCTTTATTATTTTCGATTTCTTTTAATTCCCTTTTTGGTGGTGAAGTTTGTAATTTTTGAAAATCGCACTTCTATCTGACCTGCAAAATATTCTCTTTGAATTCAAAAAAAAAAAAAAAACGAAGTCTGACTTTTCTACAGTATGTGAGAGTTTTCCTGTATTCATGTTTTTGTTTTAAAAATATATTGGCTCCGATACCCTCAAATAACTGTCTAAGTTTTTATAATAGATTATGCCAATACACCACTTGCATGCACTCATTTTTACACGAGCCATCAATGAGTACAAAAAAATACAAAATAAAAATAATATAACATAATATAAATATACTAATATAATATTATTTGTTAATATTTTACCTGGTAAGAATCAATGATGTAAAACACGAGACGTTCGTCTTGTTGGCTGTTGCGTCATCGCAAAAAAATGAAAAAATAAAAGTATGTATGGTTTACACACTTACAGTTTCAAGAAATAAAAAATGTATTCGGAGGTAATCGGCAACAATCGGTGGGATATTACCGTATTTATAAATATAACATCGATAACACATTAAGTATTAAACAAAAACATTCAAAACCGGACGCGCTTGGATGTCAACATCTACATTTAATGATAACTAAATTTTTCAAGAAATAAAATGATACACACATTATTTCAAATACTCTGGGCAATGTAAATTTTTTATTAGTCAGGAACCCGGAGAAAAAGCGTCCATGAAGAAGACCTCTCTCACGGTGGATGGATAGACTCGGTAGAAACGTGTAAAAGGTCTTAAAAGCCTGTAAAGCACTAATAAAATTTTTAAAAAATGTGTTATATTTTTGAAGTGCACACATTGTTAATTAGTCAAATGAACATTTTATATTTCCTAATGTACAATAATTAATGTCATACACATTGACATACAGCCTACAACAGTCGCACTACCAGAATCAATAATAGTATATCAACTATTTTACTTACTTTCTTTGATAGCGGTGCATCACTCTGTGTACAGCCAATTGATATTGTATTTTATTTTTATACGTAATACAGTTACCGTGTACGTTTTGGAAACGGTTAAAATACGAAGAATATTCATACTACGTGAGACGGTGCTAATAATATTATTAGTAAATAAAAAAAAAATGCCGACAACTTTCGAATACCGAATACTTTTTCGGAACCGAATTGTTCCGATACCGAACGGTAATCACATGCGATCCGGACGAGGTGCGTGTGGATTTTTTTTTATTCCGGTGTTGTTTTTTTTTTACTCGTCAAAAACAACCGCGGCGGGAACCTCGCGGTCCCGGGGGCTCGGTTTCGACGGCGGTTTGATACGTGGGTGCGTGGATAAACCGGTAAAAATATTTTAAAAAAAATATACATCCCGTACGAAACTAAAAATAATATTATGTCGGCGGTGATGCGCGTTTATCCGCGCGGCGACGGCGTTAAAATCCATATATACGAAAAGAACGGTGTGCTTTTTTTTTTTTTTTACTCCTAAAAAAAACCTAAAAAGCTTTTCATTTAGCCGTAGAGCCTATATATTGTACACACTGCGTGTATATAGGTAAATATATATATATACACGCAGTATACTGCGTGCACACGAGTATATTTTTTTTAAAAGCTCTATCAAAACCGCTGCTGCCGTAACACCTTCGTCACGTGTGCGAAGCAACATGTCACGGACGTATGCCACCGCACCCTCGTTATATTATTTAACAAGCTTATACGTATACCAACCTTTTTGCTCGACCGGATTTTCGCCACCGTTGCATCACGCGTACGCGATTTAAAAACCTAACCGTAAACTCGGATGCTGTACGACGGGGGCGGCGGGTGGGGCGCATTTTCGGTAAAAATAATGGGGTCGCTAAATATAATCTCCGTCGCCGTAACAGTTATTACCCATAGATATTACATACTATATGGACGGGTGTCACCGAACGCAACGAGAATCGTTTTAATGGAGATGTGTATTCGGATAGGTATCGAGAAAAAAATTAATAGCGAATTTCATTTTGTTTTGTTGTTTTTTTTTTTTTTTTTGTGATATACTTACTAGCTTATGAGCGGTGACAACAACGTAAGGAATAACGTTTGGTTCTGGACAAGAAACATATTAATATTAATATGGAAATGAGGATAACAAGCACCAATATCTGCGGTCAAGATTTAATACGGAGTTTCCTATATAGCAGGGGAAAGAAATTATAAGGCTGAAACTATCTGTTAATGAAAACGCTATTAACCGATATAAAATTTAGGAGAGGTGTTCATATTGTGACTGCGGTGTTTGTGCGTGCGTCGACTAAAATCGTATACGTTTTGTTAGTTCGGAAAAACACCGCTAAAATCGTTGCAGATCAAATAATCTCCCACTCATCCATAGGAATCCCGTATTTAAAACCTGACCACAGTGCTAATTAAATAACACTTAAAAAATACAAAAATTATGCTTCTGCAATAACAGAAAATATCGGAATAAAAAATATCCATAATCCCATAAGCCATTTACGTTTCTCGTTTGAAATCGCGCACTTTTTAACAAAAAATAACAGACTCCAGGTGTATTAGAGAAAAAAGTGTGCAATCCTGACCACCCGTCGACTATACCGTTATCCACCTACCGTAGACGACGCTGATCTATATTGACATTGATTTATGTTTTAGATTCTGAACGGAGCGCGGAATGTATTGGTTTTGCTATGATGTGTGTATGTGTTTTTTCTGTCTGTATACGATTTTCTACCAAAAATATTGCTCCAATAAAAACAAACAACAAAAGAGCTTTTATGTAGCGTTTTTGATCAAGTTGATGCATTTTATTTTCGAAGTAGTTTTTATAATGATTGGAAATAAAACGTAAAGAAAAAACGGAAAAATTCATAGCAATACAATATTCATTATTTTCGATTTATTCAATTTTACTTTTATATCAGTGAACATGATCCAAATTTCAAGATTAAAATCTTTCCTGAAAGACAATTTTATTTAATTTTGTGCACTAGAAAATCGTTATTTAATAAATTGTCTGTGTAATTATCTTAATAATTAGAAACAATCTAATAAACGGAAAAAATTAATCAAGATTTAATTATTTTAACTTTTTTTTTGTGAATTAATTAAAAACAATAATGCTAAAATACATGAATGGAATAATGAAAGAAGATAAGATAAGGGATGAGTAAAAATGAGGTAGCTTAGGCGCGGCTTCAATAGTAGACAAAATGAAAGAAAATAGACTGGGATGGTTTGGGTATGTCACGGGGAAAGAGGAAAGCAATCAGAAATGCTTGAATATTTAACACAAAGTCCATTATACCTTGTACTTCATGGTAAATAAAAATGGAGTGTACATTTTGTTCTATAAATTACAACGCGAATGCATCAAAATATACATAGGAAATATAGATAGAGATTTCAAAACCACATTCAAAGAGCATACAACTGAAATAATATTAAAAAAAGAAAACCCCGAGTCAAAATTTGAAGTCTTAGAAAATACACCAAAATATTACAAATAGCATAGAAAAAGATTTAACGATAATATATCAACAAAAAATTAAATATTTAAATTCTGCAGAGCAAAATAATTACCACATCCATAACGAAATAAAAAAAAAACAATAGCTTCAATAATATATTAAATGTACAAACTGATTTTAAAATTAATATTTTATTCACTTATTTATATAACCTTGAAGATGATAGCAAGTATATAATTTATTTTCCTTATATTGTTATTGTAATATTGTTTCAATTTCATATTTACCCACATGTGTAATGCCATTAGATAACGACCATTGATTTATTTCCATTTAATTTTGAAGTTATTTGTATTTCAAATGTATTTGGAAACTGTTAGAGAATTTAAAATAAGTAATCAAACGATGGCACCATGTCGAAACTTAGGGATTTCTAGATAAACATATTGTATTCACACGTTAAATCTTAATTTAAAATTGTTTAAATAATTCATCTTCATAAATACCAAAACAAAAGTATTAGATAATCTCAAATCTATAATAATTGTTTATCGTAGTGTACAGGCACCTATAAATTGAACACATTTTCGTATCTTGCATACTCAAGTTCCCACATATAACAGTGGTACACCCATCAGCAGTAATAGCTCTTTTTATTTTAATTATAATTGTTTTTTTCGCTTTCAGGACATTAAGCCGAAACCGAATACGACGAACGGGACGAACGGGACGCCGGAAAATAAGTTTGAGGAGAAAAACGACGATGCCTTGACGGCGCTGCCGCTGTTTTGTATCGGTAAGCATCCAACATGGAACGTAATATACTAATCAAAAATTGTAGTAGTTGAAATTCCGTTTTAAAGACGAAACCGATTCGATGTTCACCAGCCCTTTCCATCCCCCATTTCACGATTTAGGGCTTGTTTTTTTTTTTATGATTATTTTATTCAGTGCCATAATTATTTACACGGCCTACTGTCAGTATCGCGTTACAGGGACTTCGTTTCGAGAAGCATGGTGTGCACTCAAACCCACTTGCAATTTCATTCATAATTGACTTAGGTATTAATCTTGACGTTGACAGTGACATTCAAACTTGAAAATTTTTTTTTTTTTTTTAATTAAGTGCGATTTTATTATTATTATTTATTTATTGCTATCAACCATTTTAAGATAAATAAGCATACTTAAACAAAAAAGTTAGATACAAAGTTGCACAACTCCCCTTTAAAAATCTTATTCGCCATTACGTTTTTAATAATTTTTTCCGGCGTCTATCAGGGAGGGGGGTCCCTGTCTTGATATACTTGATGGCTATATTCAGTTTTTACGATAAACGTCGTATGATTTTATACGGATTAAGTTTCAAGGGAATCCCCGAGAGATGCGTAGATATTATGCTGATTTTTGACTATTTGACGACTTCTCCCCTTCGATTTTCAGTTCTTAAACGGTATAAAAATTATTTTAAACTTCCCGTTTCTATTGTTAAAATATTGTAATATATACCAACAAGATCAATAACGATTTTTTTTTTTTTTTTAAAAACGCATATATCGTATTTTTATAGTAATGCATGCTCCGGTCTATAAAAATTTTCGTACCTACACCGTTATGTTTTACTGCACGAAACGTTGGGCGGCCGTGGCCGTTTTACAGGATCGTTTCTGATCGTGGTCATATTCCTGTCGATCGCGGGCAACGTGCTGGTGTGCATGGCCATCTACACGGACAGGGGCCTGCGGCGGATCGGCAACCTGTTCCTGGCCTCGCTGGCCATCGCCGATCTGTTTGTCGGCGCGCTGGTAATGACGTTCGCGCTGGTCAACGACCTGCTCGGCTATTGGATATTCGGCGCGAAGTTCTGCGACATTTGGACGGCCATAGACGTCATGTGCTCCACCGCGTCCATACTGAACCTGTGCGCCATATCTCTGGACAGATATATACACATCAAAGACCCGTTGAGGTGAGCCTGCACACTATTATATTATGTGGATACTAGAAAACGGTTGCGGGTCGAAGCGAACGGTTAGTCGAGCGATCGATAAAAAGTGATTGGAATTTCACGCGATCGATTGGTTTTTCGGTCGACTTTTGTACTAAAAATGTCGAGACATTCGAAACGTCGATTCCCGTCGTCGTGAGCGTTTCAGTTTGCTAAATGTATGTAATATTATAGTATGAATTATAAATCTCATTTTTCAAAAATCTCCAAATTAATTTCGTTCAAAATTATATTGTTATTTGGTTTCAAGAAAAAAAAACAATAATAATAATAATATATCTTTACTAAAAGTGTTAAATTTTCAAAATAATACTTCAATTATACTGATAACTGAAGCCTAAAATTAACAAATAAAAACTGATAACAGTCAGGTGCGTACCGCCTTGTCCGGGAATTTTCCGGCAGATCATTCTGTGTCAGGCCCTTAATTTATACACATTTTCGGTATTTACTATCCATGTTTCCCTGAATCATCTATTTTATTTTGTAATTTCTTATCAGTAGGTACTTACAAGGGCGACCGGAGTTGAAAATTCAGGGGGGACGGCCTTAATTTTCATTAATAATCAAACACTTTTATTAATATATATTATGTAAATTTTCAAAACTTTTCAAAAGTATTATAATTTAATATTAAATTTTACACTTATATTAACTAATTGATCACAAATTACAGTTTTATTTTATTTTTCCTAAATTCATCAACAACTTCTTTCTACTAAATTAAGTTCTTCTGCTTAAATATACTTAACACACGCATAATCCGGGTAAACGAACCATATACATTAGACAACCATAAAATCAGCCATCCACAAAAAATATCCATACATGATCGGCTGTATTGATTAGTACCAACTTTAAATCATAGAACATACATTATTGTATATTGTGATAATAAATTAGCGGAATTCTACTCGTATTACCCCGAAGTATACTTACGGATTAAGTACCAACCAAAGAGTATAACTAATGATAAATATTAATACACCTTGATAATAATGAATTTTAGGATTTTCAGGTATTGAATTTGGATATAATTATTTTAACTTTCAAGAAAGCTAGGGGAGAAATGTCCCCTGCTTCCCTTGTGGACGCCCTTGGGTACTTATGAATATGTATTTATTTAAAATAGTGAGCCTCTAATCATTTACCGGTGTAAAAACGGACCCATTAAGTACCTAATAACAGCATCTCGAAGGTTTCTAATTTTCTATAGTATTTTTATACTCGTCTCACCCGTGGTAATTTTCAAAATATTTACTCTGCCATTTATGATAAGGTTAGTGATCCGGTGGGCATTGCGTTTCGATATAAACCCATATAAAATCAATATACTCTTTAATATAGTTAATTGTTTTCGTCAATAGTATTGTCGATCACATTGATAAGCCTTCCGTTAAAATCCGCTCTTATTTCAACAGTTTTTAACGAAAAATGTATTGTATCCAGCCGATATCGATACCCACGTAAATCTGGTAATAATTGTCATCAATTTCAATGTATATGTATTTAGATAGCACCGAAATCTCGTTTATGGTTTACAGAAGTTGATTTCGCCCGACTGACGGCGCAATCGCTCCGTCAGTTTATTTTCTACAGAATCCTGCAGCGAGAGCTTAAAATCTCAAAACAACAATGATACGAATTTCCTTCAAAATGCTAATGATCCGCGCGAGCACGGCACAAATTGCTGTTTGATTTCCGATGTCGTTTGTAGATAATAGTACTCGTGTGTGTGTGTGTGTGCGTGCGTGTGCGTAAATAGTGTTGGATTTCCGTTTCAATTCGAGTATTTTTATAACATAAGAAATCCTGTCAGGCGATTAGCTTTAGCTATATAAATACCTATTCATTATTTAAAACGTCAAATCACGTCTTCTGCCATCTACGTTACAAATTTAATTGCCAAAAAATATGTCACGAGAGATAAGCCTACCGCTCAGTTGCCCCTTAAAAGATGGAAAACAACGATTATTATTAAAACGGTTATGAAAAACTTAACAGATGCGAGAGTTGAAACAATTTTAAAAATTAATCTATGTTTATACAATTAAACGAAACCGTGGATAAACATTTTTGAGGGAAGCCTTAGGGACTGTGACACTCTCTAGTACCCTCCATGTGTGTTGTTTTTTTTCACGGATAACGATTTTTCAACAAAAGATTTTTTTAGATTCTGAGTGGAGCGAAGAAGCTTGTGGTTTTATAAAAATTTGTATTTTATTTTTCTGTAGACTACCAGAAGACTTGCTCCGATTTTTACGTGTGGCAATTTTTTTTAAATAAAATCGGTATAGGAAAGTATCTTAAACGGGCCATTTTTCGATTTCCTCAAGAATTTTTTCATCAAATGCAAAGAACCGAAAAAAAAACTGAAAAATGTACCAAATTTATTTGTATAATATTACGATATTTTTTTTCTGTGGAGAATTTTCCACCAGCAATTTTTTACCAACTATTAATGAAAGCAATGTTTCTGAAAGGAAATTTCACTAAGGAGGTACTTTAATAAGGTCGTTTTTAAATTTTCTCCGGAGTTTTCTCAGGAAATATGAAAAACTGAGAAAAACGTAGGAAAACCAAAATCAGTACAACATTAAACAATTATTATTAAAGAAAATATATAGAGTCTACTTAATTATATTACTATAATATGAGATATATATTGTTGACAAAGCATCACTATCAATTGAACTCCGCTCAGAATCGTTTTTCATAAGCAATGGTTTATCGTTGCTTACAAGTATATAATAATATACCTATAACAGTGGTTGCACCTGTCCCTATCCTAATAAATCTTTTTTGATATCAAAGATACTTTAAAAACTACGAATTTTTCGAAATTCTTAATACATCTTTTAATGAATTATTTCTATATTTTGTTTTTTTTTGTTTTTTTTTTTTTTTTAACATTTTTGTTAGAAAAATACTACAGTTTATTCATGGAGAGCCACAAAAAAAATCTTGCTCGGTGGTATTTTATTTTAAACATTGATAGAAATTTATCATCCTTATCAACGTCTTTTTTTTTTTTTGTTTCTTTTTGAATTAAGAAATCCAGAACACGACAAGAGAAAAAACTATACTAACACTACTTCGTTTAGGATCGTTTTTCGTTAGCAATATTTTTATCGTTTAAGATACTATTCAAACTTAATTACCTATACATTCTACATTCCCAATTACATAACCTACAATAGTGTCCTTCTCACGTAAACCGTATCGTCTAAATAATTTTTCATGACGTTACTCGATATTTTTATATTATTAAGTATGTTCATTATTTCTGTCATTCACAAGCCACTGCTCAAATATTACAATGTTGTAATATCGTGTACACGCGATAGATAGTATAATCAAGGGTTTTTGTTTTTAATTTTTTTTTTTTTTTAACAAAAAATCGAGACCCGGACGTGAGAAAAGAGTTGAAAACAAAACAATACTACTGACTTTTTAAAACAAAGAACCGCATCTTAACTTTTTTAGCAAGGTGCACACACCAATATATGTTTAACGGACGCGTAGCCGGGTAAACTTTTAGATAAACTCGAAAACAAACTTGCTAAACTTAATCGAAGAAAAAACCGTAAAACTAAAAATATATATATATTTATATTTTTTTTTTTTATACGAGTCAACTCGGTTTGAAGCATTTTCATAATTATTTTCTTTTAAAATTCACCTCATAACGAATATAGGTATAGAATACGATATTTTTTAAAAAATTAAGTAGATAAGTACCCGACTTTTCTGAAAGTGCAGTGCACATGAATAACGCAGAGCGCGCTGTTTTAATATTAAAAACAGTTGCCACTAAAAAGTGATGCCGCAATTAAAACTTTGTTGGGTTCTCGGAAAAACTATCAGAATATTACTTATTGACTGTCCGCTCAAGTTCATTTCTTTTCATCCCCTTCCTTCCTACTTTCCAAATTTGAACTTTTGACGAAGTCAAATATTTGTACAGAAATGTACACTAAGTCCCATAGTTTATGCATAACTTACAGAGTTATTCCAAAAACAAATTAAAGGAGATACTATTAAAACGATGGCCCTAAACTTCCGAATTTTTGACAACGCCGATCATTTATGTAGAACTGTGCATAAAATCCTATTGTTTATGCACAGATACTTACCGAAATATTTCAAAAAATAATTTGGGAAAAGAACTATGAATAATACAAAACCTCTATTAACATTTTTACTTATTTTTATCGTGCATTGGAAAACCATAATTTTATATCCTTGTGGATGTTGAATTATTTCATAGGAAAATAATTATTTCAGTCAATAAACTGAAAAATAACAAATAGTTAGTTTACATCCTCCCCTCCCCCTCCGAATTTTTTGTTCAGGTTATGACCTTGCTCAGAATTATCATTTTAAACAGAAAAACCATAATTGTCTGAAAAAAAAATAAATATATAAAACACTAGAATATTACAACTATAACATTAAGTATACCGTTCTTATGAAAATGAAATATAAAGCTCTGTATCGAGTTAATATTACAGTTTTATTCGTATTTACAAAATAATTATCATCATAATATTACCGGTTTGGATCTTAGTGATTTCAGCTATAAACAATTAAACACTGTCTTTTTCTATAATTTTTCAGGAAACGACGTACCTACCGTACAGAATATTTCTTGATAATAATATTGCATCTTATGTCCATTTAGTTTGATTTTAAACGCGAACATTGTAAAATACACAAGATTTGTTTTATAGTTATAATGTGTTATTTAGAACAGATAGGGTGCGCAGGGTATATCTTTCCTTTTGCGATGTACTATAATACCTCCTCAGTGGATAATTTTAGAGCTTATTACGCACCAATTACTTATTGTTTCAAAAATCATCATGTAAGACGGTATAACATGTCGAAAATAAAAATTAATCTGTGCTCATAAATTTGGCGTCCTGTCTTCTAGCTCACGTTGAATTGTTCCAAAGAATATCCCCAGAAACGTTATGACCTCCTTCACTTATAATTACGTGTTGGGGAACCTGATTAAAAGCCGCAGTGTACTACTGTGAGAATTTTAAAACAATTGAAAAAGTGGGACATTTATTAAATGCTGATGGCGCGCTAGCCGTTTAAAAAATTTAAAAAATTATTGGAATCGAATTTAGTTTTTATTCATACAAATTATAGATTTCTAATTACTGCTATTGCTTGTTTATAAACTCAAGAACCTCTCTTAACTGAAACAATAAAAACTGTAGAGAATGTCAAAAATGAAATAAATACTGTTAAATGTTCTAAAGGCATTATAGTAATAATAATTTACTATTATTAGTTTGAAAAATAATTATTGAGAAGAATCTGAGCTTTAAGTAGTAATGCTTAAGGATCTTAACTATAAATGTATAGAATATGTTAGTTAGTCTCGTGCGATCGCAAACAAGAAACACAAACACTTCCTTTTATACCATCGGTATTAAGCAACGGATTTTCGAACAACGCCTGATAAACAACTTGATTGACGTTATTTGGATAATAAAATTACAGACCTTAGATTTAAATGACCTAACAATTATCGAAAAATGTTCTAGAAACTAGCCAAAAATGCCTACTGCCGAAGTACTTAAAATATTACCTAAGTACTAAACATTTTCTGAAAGTTAAAAATATAAAACAAAAGTTTCACTTTTGTAATTATTACTTGTTTGACCCCAGGTGACGCACAACGAAATAAATACAACGCAAAGACGTTATTTAAATCATTATTAGAAAGATTGACAGTCTATATTCATGAAAAATACTTGAAATATATTAGAGCAAATTGTATGTAAATAAAATGTTTTGATATAATATTTTGAATTATCTAAACGTTGCAACTATTAATTCATTTTGTGTGTACACGTGACCGAGAAATGCTAAAAAATTTAAAACGAAAAATTCCCTTATGAAGTATCTGTTAGATGGGTGTTTGGAAAACATTGGCTTAGGTTGTATAAAAAAAAAAAATAAATGCACTTCGCATTGAAATCCGGACCCTATAGCAATACTAATATTTTCACGAGTTTTTTGGAAACTCTTGCTGCACACTATATCACAAATTCTGGATTACAGTTTCCATTATAACAAATCTGAATAATAATAAATCCATCACTCGGTCCAGTTGTTTTTCGACGTGTGATTTACTGACGGTAACCAACAACCGGGTAATCTAATATACATATTATAATACATACGCCGGTCGAAGGGCCGGTGGATATTGCGTTGACTCGAACTCGATTTATCGGGAATACGGGAAAGTTGATTAGCGAACGTGACAGGCATAATAACAATATAGTATACACAACATTACTATATGAAATCGTGAAATGAAATTGGAAAAAACAGTTACTATACTCGTATAATAATATATTGAACCGACATTCTTTCATATTTTTATCGTCAAAGGGACAAATTTACCTACGTAGACCAATACGATCTGATCCCCGGAGAAATCCGTTTGCGAGCATATACTAGAATCATATCAAATTATCCAAAATTAAAAGAAGGAGGGGAGGGGCGAGTCAAAAAACTAGTTGGGATTTGACATCAGAAAACTATATTTTTTTCCTCCAAAATATATAAACGAATAACCTCTCAAAAATAAAGCGGATATGTCGTTACATGCAACTGTACTGCTGTAAACTTATGACGTATTTCCTGACTTATGACTAATCAGCGTTTCCCAACCTGCTGGGCAAACGTGAGAATTCATCGCTGAGTAAAATTTGTATTTATTAAATTATTTGTATTTTACATTTACACAAACAAGGGAACAAACTCCTTTTAAATTTTAAAAATTTTATTAAAAAATTACAACAGACGGCTACCGACAAACAGAAAATTGTTTTTAATTTTTAAAAATTTACAAAAGGCGGGTTCACATTAATTGATCTGGTAAATAATATCCCGCTATACACAATCCGCGTCATTTGGTCCAGTGTAAAAATATCCGGTAGGAAAAAAACCAGTGACATAAATGATCATTATCTAAAATACTACATCTTGAAAATAGATAAACTGCAGAAAAAATTAACAAATGACTGTTAATAGAATAGGTACGGAAATGGTTAGTTAAAAATTAAAATTATGGGCAATGTCTTTTAAAAAAATATAAGTATTTAATATCTCATAATAATTTACATTATTTTTCAATCGTTGGTCCAAGTATTTATATTTAAGTAGCTTTGGTACGATTTTTCATTAGAATATACACAAAAAGAAAAACGGATGTACCTTTGGAGACATGTATTGTGTAAAGTTGTGAAAATATTGACGGAACAGATTTAAAAGTATCATCACCAAACCAGTTCTCTGACTCTTGATGCTTACTTATTAGGTATGGTTGCGAAAATTAAATTTCTATTTTAAATATTGCCACTATCATAGGATAAAATTAATTCGTTATTTTAAGAGAGTTTTATGTACTTCAGGTATAATTAGGGCCTTGGCATTAATTGAATTACACGGTGCATGCATTTTCTTTTCTTACTCGTGTCCGCTGAATAGTCCTTGATAATGATTTTATGGTTGTTAATTGTCCAACCACTCGATCAGACGTTTCACCTACCTTTATAGAAATTACATTTCCGGTTGAACTTTCGAATTTTCCTTTGAACCATTCACAAATATTTTTGTTTCGGTTTTCGCAAAATCTGGAGCATGAAAGTGATCCAAAGTTTCTTTTAAAATGTCTCCTAGAAACATTAAGTTTATTTTAGTATACTACCAGCATAATGTACTGCCAGCTTTGTTGACTTAAAGACAGTTGTGTACGGTAAACGTCGTAGTAAAAATGTCCGAAAAATTACAAAATTAAATATGTTTACATCTACGTACAGAAATTTAGTTAGAATTTGAAGTTTAAAATAGAGTTACGTAATTTCGACATATGTAGTGAGAAGAAAACGACTAACAATAGTTGTACGTCCGGCATATAGACTGTGAGTAGGTAAATAACAAAATTAACAACGAACTAAACGTGAATAGTTTTTCACTCAGGTTTCAAGGAACGGGTTTAACTATTTATAATATTATTGGTATTTACAATTTCAACTGGTTTTACTTTTGAGAAGATCCAATATTATAAAGGCTGTATAATTTGTACTAATTTGTATTAAATAATAAACACCTCTGTCCGGGGCTTCCGGAAGTACTGTACATAATTATGTACGACAATGTAAATATTTTTTTTTTTAACAGATTGTTTTAGTTTTTGAACATTTTTTCCTCGAAGTATTTCTCATATTTGTGTGCACCTCTTACCCATTGTTTTTCTTTTCGTGTACCTAAATATTACGAAAATAATAAAAATATTCATTAATTTGTCTAATTATAATTTCTTTTACATAAATATAAAATACATAAATATAAATAATATAAATTAGTATATCGAAACACGAAAAAAGATTCTAAACGAAGTTTGGGGGAAAAATTTGATTTTTATTTATAAAAGTTATTAAATTGAATAATGTATGCACATTACTCGTATTATATGTACCTGATTCTCATTCGTTATACTATAATATGGGCTTCTACACTACAATTTTTTATATTCTCTACAACGTCAAATAATCTTATTTTTATATATATATATTTCCCATGTAGAACGTGTACATAAATCCGTTATGCATCAATACGTTTTTGGCTGTTAATGAATGTTAATGGTATGATAGAAAATAATAAATACCAATAATAACTAAATAGTAACACAGTCAGCAATTGGCGAGTGACAATTATTGTACCTATGTACCTATATGATTAAATTGAACTTTTAGATTTTGAAATCGTCTGCTATATCATACTGAATTGCGTACCTACCTACATCGAACGTAACTCATCTCATCTTCAACAGACAACAGAAAATAATCTACGTAGAAAAAACCAATGTCTGTCTGTCAAATTCGTTTACAATTCCCCGAGAAAATCGATGGATCGACGGTTGATCGTCAACCCATAATCGAAATTTATATCAAATATTGTCAAATCGTTCGTGGGACCTAACCTAACCTAGCAGGCGGCTGTGCGGTTAAAGCAATTTAGATATAATAATAACAATAATAATTCCCACGGTTTCAACTAAACCTATGATAAACACAAAACCGTCCCGTACCGGATTTGGTTTTATAATGACACGGTATGATTCGGGAACTATGTATGATTGGACTGTGTATTTCGCATTATTGCCGCGGCCGTCGCAATCGGAATAACGTTCACCCGGGCGTCACATTATCCTGATTGCCCACATGCTCCGGGCGCTCGTCGTCGTGCACGTTTATTTTCGATTTAATTGTGCACGTGCCGATTATTATTATTTCGAGTGTGATTTCCCTCGACCGCGCATTTGCCCGGACCACGGTTATAGACGACAGAATGCTGTTGTCCAACGAGTAATATAGGTACTTAGTGGTTTAAATTGGCTCCCGAAATTCCCTCTAACGAAACAGTCCATATGCGCTCCAGCGACGGCATTATATAGCAGTAGCAGTGACTTTCAGTAGCAAACTCAGACTGTTACTCCAGCGTGATAATAACAGAGACCGCTAGTTACTCTTCTATTGCTACCAGTAGCAGCGCTACTGCAACGATCAACCGTACGTGTTATCATATCACTGCTGCTACTCGAGTATGCAAACATTAATGCCTGCTGCCTTGTGTATAAATAAATAAATTACATTTTCAAATAAATAGTAGTTAGCAGTATTCTAGTAGCAGTAGCATATGTTTGCTGCTACTGAAAAAAAAAACACAGTTAGTCATCTTTAATACTCTCCGTACGGTAAAATCTCCATGTGTTTCACGAATGATCTAGTAATAATAGATAATACTTGGCGATTTGAATTTACCAAGCGGTATGTATAATAAAAACGCACCCGGCGTGATTTTTCATTGCATAGCTTTTAGATTTACACTTAGAACACTAACTTCCATGGAGCGTTATCGGGTTTGAACCCACGTCGATATTAGATGAGTTTTTTAAAACTTCTAAAACTTCCTAAAAACTATATAAACCGACTAGGTTGAATTTTGGATTAAGCCGATCTCGGATAAGGTCTGTAAATACGTGTCCGGTTGTGCAAGTTGAAGAGCTTCCCTCAAAAGCAGTCTAAAATTCTTGAAAAACAAAAAAAAATCTATTTCAACGCCGAAAAATCTGCTTTAAACGCTCACTGAATTTCGTTCTCAACAGTCTTTCCTAGCCCTGGCCGCTATAAATCTGTTAATGGTTCAAATTTTGAAGATTATGTACCCTATTTTTTTGGTTTTTTTTTTTTTTTTACGACATTTCGGATTTTCACGGTATTAGTAATCGTACACCAGTACTCGTGTAGTTTCTTTTCTGTTCCGCAGACGGCCTTTTATCATGCACTTCTATAACAATATTTAACTGTATATTATAATATAGTACCACGACAAAAGTGCGACGTTTTAATGTACGACGCAATTCACGAGAATTTCACGACGACGGAACATAATATACGCTATAATAATATGTTATAATACCTATCGTGTATTGTTATTATACTTACATGTTGCGCACAAAGGGTATTACAATAATATCACAACACAGAAATGCGGTAAACTTCAAAAGATTTTAAATGTATACTCGCGCGATTGCAGTCGTCCGTCTCGTGCGACCCAAGCGAAGTTAGACGATGTGCCAAGATTTTATATACAGAGTGATCCGTTTTCGAGTGACTCCATTCAATATTTCAAAAAGTATTCACTTGAGGAAAAAAAAATGTTTTAGCAATCTAAGAAACAAGCGGCTCGGAAGTGTTACATTAATATTATCTTTTATGCCCTTTATTTTCGAGCGTGTAACGACTAGGTACCAAATTTATATTTTAAAATGGCAACCTATATTAAAAATTTCATAAATTGCAGACCGAGTTTTAGTTTAAATCGATTAAAAATGTATTTCACGTAGTCTTGATTGCCTCGATAGAGCGAAAAATATAAAAAAAAGAATTAACTTGGCAACGTTGACCAAAAAAAAAACGTTCGCAATAGAATTTCGCCCAGCTCTACTAGTCCCTCTAACCAATCTTAAAAGTAGAAAATCTCGTCAACGGGTTGAAAGTAATCAAAAACTTCAACATCAAAATGAATTTAAACGAATACTTCATTTATTTATGACATGTATAATATAGGTTATTAATATAATATATTCTACAGAGGCTTCATTTCGGTTTTTATTTCGGGTGTGCGAGGTTTCAAACAGGCTATTTTAAATATTTCATCAGGCCATATAAAAACATACATATAAACTTATGTAGTATGTACATTATCTTGATTTTAATTATTGTTTCAATAGATTATGAATCGCAATAAACATCAGTAAAAATCGATTTAAAATCTAAAAAAAACAATAAATAATTGATACTTTACTTATGAAAACCAATAAGTAATTGAATATTGAAGGTGTTAAATGCAGTAAAAAAAAAAAGAAAAAAGAATTTTCACATTATTATTTTTAATTGGTATGTATAATTTTTGCACGAGTAAAACACTCAACAAAATCAAATTAATTAAATTTAGAGGATTATTAAGAGAATACTGGAGATTTTTAAGTCCAGCAAATACATCTACAGCTTTTTCTAAATCGATATTATTCACTCCTTTTTTTTTCAACATTTAGCACCATATAAGATCGTATAGCCTTTGACCATCACCTATAGAAATATAATTTTACATTTTTATAACGATGAAAACCCCTTTCATTTGATGCCATTGTAATTGGTAAAGTTTTTATTAATAAAATTACCATCGTGAATAAATTAACGAGAACGAACGATAGATTATTATATTATTTACAGTTCGAATTAACACGCCACTATCGTCTTTGTTTTGTTTCGCATCTATACGGAAAATGAAAAGAGCCGATCGTCATCATTATTATTACGATTGTCGTTAAATAATTTACGGCCGCGATTAAGATAACGAGTTATTATCAAAGCGAAAATATCAATTTATCCGTCGACGGAACGAATCCCGCAACAGCGTTACGCTACAACTCCCCCCCACACTCCCCCCCCACTCATCGCTGGATTTCGAAATAAATACGGCAAACAATTAGCATCACCCACGCAATCAGTACATAAATCGACACGATCAATTTCCGAATTTGCTCGACACCGATATCAGAGTTGTATACAAAAAAAAAAAACAGCCACTCTCGAAAAGCACCGCAACTAAGGTAGGATTCCCGTCACCCTATTTTTCTATTACAGTAAAATTCTGTGTAGAATAATAGAATGTAACTGAATACTTTTAAAACGCTATACCGTATAAAAACAAACTGATGAAATTTCAGTAAAAAAATAGTAGGCACGAGGGCTGAGAGTTTAAACTTTTAAAACGCACATCATTGACATTTAACACTAACACGCTATGTATATTGGATCCATTCGGTCTATAGTGAACGTAGGTAACGGGGGAAAAACCTCGCCTAATAAAGTACAATATTATCATTTTTATTTTCGGGGACACTAATGTCGAATTTTCACCTAACCGCCTTGTTGCCGCTACAAAACTAACCATTAACTTACTATTTCACTGAAAACGTGAGGTTTTCGCATAAAAACGGAGAAAGTGGGTATTGTGGACATCAGTTTGCCTATGCGCGGATCATATTTCTCTCCGAGCGGAGAATATGTGATAGCGATACCTCCCTACTGCGTGCTAAAATTCTGATTGAAATTTATCCCGATTCTATGCACCCCGATCCGTTAGTAAACGATAATGTTTCGATACAATGCAATATATTCAGGAAAAATTCGACAAAAACCCCCGGTGGAGGAGGTGGGCTGGCGTGAAGTTACACCAGTACCCGTTCCAAAGATAATACAGCTTGCATTCAAATCAAATTATAAATTAAGTTAATTTTTTAACTTAACAAGAAGTTATTGTTATTATTTTTATGCATGTGACATTATATCGACTATTACTTGTTCCTGACAATGAGTACCTAATTGTTATAGTACGACTGTTATTGTTTTGCGCAGGTACACGACGTATTTGAACCGGAGGAATGCGCTGCTGGCCATAGCCGGCGTCTGGGCGCTGGCCGCGTTCGTATCGGTGGTGCCGATCTGCATTCTGAGCATCCACAAACCACCAAAGCCGGCGCCCAACGCGGGCGAGACGGAACACATGACTTGCGCTCTGGAACTATCGCCCGAGTACGCGGTCATATCGTCGTGCATCAGCTTCTACATACCGTGCGTGGTGATGATCGGCATCTACTGCCGGCTGTATTGTTACGCGCAAAAGCACGTGCAGAGCATCCGGGCGGTCACGCGGCCGCTGACGACGACCACGACCACGACGACCAACGCGTCGGCGGCCGCGTCGTCCACCACGTTGACGGCCGTCCACCATCACACATCGCCGTACCACGTGAGCGACCACAAGGCCGCCATAACGGTGGGCGTCATCATGGGCACGTTCCTGTTGTGCTGGGTTCCGTTCTTTTGCGTGAACATCATCAAGGCGTTCTGCAACACGTGCATACCCGAGGCCGCGTTCAAAGTGCTCTCGTGGCTCGGCTACTCAAACTCGGCGTTCAACCCGATCATCTACTCGATATTTAACACCGAGTTCCGGGACGCGTTCCGCCGCATACTCACCACCCATTACCCGGACTGGTGCTTTTGCAAGGGCTACCGGACCGTGGTGCTCAGTTCGGACACGTCGATCCGGCACCACCGCCGGAAGCAGAACGACTTCGCGTCGTCCGCCTCGGCCACGGCCATCGTGGCCGCTTCCGCCGTTGTTAGACAGAACGGCAAGGCGGCGGCGGCGACCACCGCGTCAGCCACTTCAGTCGCCGGCCAAGGTATCCATCAGCAGCACCAGCAACCGTCTACCAGCACCAGGTCGTCGGTAGCTTCGCTCCGTCAGAGCCGACTCAACTCGTCGGAGAAGATCATAGTCGAGGCGGACGAGGAATCGTCGTCCAACGCCATCTGACCGCCCATCGCCACCGCCGTCGTCATACCTCGTTTCGCGGTCGAATATCTCGTCTGATTGGTATCTGAGTACCGAAAAGGAAAGACATTTAAATGGCCTTCTCCTCGTTTCCCCTTCTCAAACCGCCACACAATAACCGTGTGATCCGTCTTAAATATACGTGCTGGCCCGTCGCTAATTAATATGTTATGGGTACAAACACGTTAGAAGTTACTTTAGGGTGGCAAAAAAAAAAATTGAAAATACCAAAGTGGGAAAATTAAATAAACAATAATTTGTTCTAAATATAATTGTTTACGAGGTTGTTTGGTTTTCATTCAAATTGTGCAATTTCTTTTTTTTTTTCATCCCGAATTTGATAATTTCTAAATAAGCTGCTCGTACTTGTTTCTTGAGTTATTTAGTAAACAAACTAAAAAATAAATGCAATTTCAAAATATCTTCTAATATTTTTTATAAAATCGTTAAAAATTGACTTTTTATAATAATTTTAAATTTGTACGGATTTTGTGCGTTTTAATTTGACGACGACGGTGCGATTGTAATAAAGATCGCGAATTTCCAAATAGTTTAACTGTATAAATAGTATATTATGTACGAATGGTCGATTTTGAAAACGCTGTCGTCCGTTTCAGAATCGAAAAACTCACACTTTGAGAAAAAAAAAATCGCTCTGGGAATAGATTCACATTCACGCTAATAATTTCATCCAGGTACTTCCATGATCAGCGTCGGCGTAAAATGTTCGCTTTTGACTGAAAAACGTCTAACGACGGCCTGAATGTATTAGTGCGTCTAAGTCATTCGTTCGCGATAAGTGTAGATAATAATGTCCAAATCAAAAATAGCCACGGAAAAAATGTCCATTATTCCAAATGGCCAGAAGAAAATATGGTCAAATACAAAAATAGCAAGGGGGAAAATATGACTGTAGAAAAAATTGGATATTTAAAAAATATATACTCGAATAAATTGTTTTCGGCTGACCACCATTTTTCATTTGATTATATTTTCCTTGAACATTTTTGATGTAATGTACCAATGAAATTTTACCGGTCGTTTTTCCGATGACCATTTTTGATCTGACCATTATTTTCGACCATGCCGTTCATCAGAACTAATGAAATTGCTCCACTGTAGTCCGTTCGTATACGATCGGGGCTGGACTTTAGTGCCGTGCACGAATCGAAACCGAAAAACTGTATAGCATGTCAAATGAACTAATTCGGCAGTAAAACATGTCTTTTCAAAAATCCGAGCTTTAGATTTTGATGCGTTTTTTTTATCATACTATATGCTGATTTAGTCACCTACACAGTCCGATGACCGGACGGGACATGATTCAAACAAGTATTTTCCACAAATTTCATTTGTCCGAAACGCGTACCTATAAATGTTATTTTCGCGTCCATCTCGTCCATCCTGAGGTTAAGGCGGTTTGTTGAGTCTGCGAAAAGGAGGAGAAGGACTATACTTGCTTTCCAATCGATCTGGTAGTTTTAAGATTTCGTTTTAAATATTTTATTATATTATATAATCGTAAGTGTATCTATATACCGAGTATAACCTATTATAATATCGTTGTGCCAAAATTGTAATCGCCTTTTTGTTGTTAAAACCGTAAGTTACCTATACCAGACCGTGGTCTAATGACATAGAGACTAAACATGGGATTTATATTATGATTGTATGAAATGTTATAGGTAAGACGGTTGAGAAATGGAAATTATTTGCCATTTGATCAGTACTAGCGTCATCTAGTGAATACGTTTGAAACTAATTGTTTGGTAACTACCAAATAGTCGCATGAATTCTTTATACCTAGTTTACATTCAGCCCACTTCCGTGGCAGTGAGCAGGGAAGTGAGCATTAATATGGGCAGCGCGAGTATGTAAACGCGTCACTCGCGCTGATCATGCTCCTCGCACTGACGCTGCCCGACGCTTCCGTCAAGAACGGTAAACTTAGCAGCGTGAGGAGCGACATAACCGGCAATGCGATCAATCCGGTTAATTGCTGCTCGCGCTGCTATAATTAGCTGGGCAATGTTAACACTCACTGCCGTCGACGCTGTCGCAGAAGTATTTTGAAGAGTAAATACGGCAGCGCGAGTAGCCATGGCAGCGGCTGAATGTAAACTAGGTATTACACTTGGTGGCAACCACGGATTAAGGTAATTTAACATTATCTCAATTCTCGGTGAAAACGTAAATATAGTTCCGAAAGTATCCGTTAGGTCGACGCTAGTATAATATAGTGATCAAAGTCCAATAAATACCAAGGTTTATAGATAATAATAATTAATTATTGTATATTAAATATACCTAAGCCTAGAACGAATAATATCTACTCTCCGCCGCCAGTTCTATAAAAACAATTCATGTACAAATTCCTGTCCAACCATGTCATGTCCAGCCCTGTATATTATCTTAGTCCATGCTATCTAATAATTATAATAGTATTTTTAATCGTGTCGCAGCGATTCCGCGATAGAGCGAAACATAATATTGTATGCGCTCAAACCTTGGTTTGATCCGTATTTGTCTCTTATTATTGTTGTATTAATCTCCGAGCTCGCTTCAGGTCCGATCCGGTATCGTGTCGAGAATCATTTTTAATACCTCCCCGGTTCAGGATCTTCTTCTATTCCATTCTTCGCGTTTTATCCCACACGACTGAGGACACCTACTCTTAGTTTTTCCCTCCCATCATCTCCCCATTTTATAATACCCGTTTCTTCATATACTCCGTACGCCCTCGTATCTCCCCTATATAATATTATAATCTCTGTGTCCATTTTTCATTAGCCCACCCGCTCTAACACGGCTTCCGACTACACTACTTGTCTCGCTTATATGGTCTCGTCAATCTCGTAATCGTTTCTTCTTCTGTTAACATACATACCACATCACCATCTCAATATACCTATATTATCACTCTGTTATTTGCTACAACTGCTAATATACTCCCGCTAATATATTAACTAATAATTAGCCTATAAGGTCTACCTCGTTTTTATTACAGTACATATTATATTATTTTCAACAGTTTTTCTAAAAAGGGTCCTGGAAAATCACAAGTATTTCATCATTTTCAATAGATGCCTATTTTTTAAATTATATCGGTGTTTGGACCTATTGACACCCCACCTTCTGTAAATCCGCCACTGGATACCATCACTGCACGTCCTCCGCAACTCCATTATTCTCTTTTCCGCTATACTTCCATTTGTATTTCATTTCTTCTTTTTATTCAATACCCAACATTTATCTTCTGGCCAAACAAGAATTGTATAAAACATCGTTAATGATCATAAACGGTGATATTTTATAATTAGTTTTTTTTATATACTATAAATATATTTAATAAGAGTCAAAAACGCGATACATAAAGCGTTTACAAAATTATTGATAATAATAATAATGAAGCACTTTGAAAAAACAGCACGTTTTCTGATTTTCAATATATGTTAATACACTTTACGTATGTATAAATATTTTATCTTTCGGCCCGAAATGGCCGGTGTTTGTGTTTGTATAATGTAAATAAATATTACACCTATATTATAATATTATCATTAACGTTGATTTAAGAGGAAAAAAAAAATATCATTTTGTCAATAATAACACGTTTTTGTTGTCCGTTTAACCGCAATATTATCTTTATGTCGTCGTAATTATATTACTATAGTCAATCTCCATATTGTTACCATTAAAATATTAGCTTTAAGTATCGACGTGTATTCGTGTATAGGCGAATAATAAAATATTATTATTATTATGTATACCTATTACATTATTGTTTGAGTTCGAGATAATGAATATAATATTTAATATTAACTCAGTTGGTGAATTATTTCAAAACAATGCACAATAATGCCGCGCGCATAATCAAAATTCACCAAACTTAGTAGTCTTTAGAAAAATCGTTTCACACAACGTCGCTGAACAATATTAATGCTGTTTACTTTTTCGCTAAAATGCCGTACGCTATCTAACGATTAAAATATTATTTTGACGTACGCGGGTTCGACATGAGAGGGCATGGCGTTCGATTTTTTGCGGATATTTAATAACTCTGTAGCGCTCATCAAGTTTTCTAATAAACCGTACTTACTTATTATTGTTCAAACGATTTTCGTTATTTCATCGGATACTTGGATGGATACCCAGATTTGAAATGAAATCATTTTATACACCCGAAGAAGAAACACTAATAAGCAGCAGAGTTTCATCACTATAATATATGAATCGAATTTTTTATTACAATCCACTAAAACAATAAAAATAACTGATTAGGTACTAAAATATTATAAAATACTTTACTACTTCCAAAAAAAAAAAAAATCGTAAAATTTAAGATAAAAATGGTTTAGAGACAGGTTGAACATGGTTGGAAGTTGAAACTCCCGAAAGACACATTCGCCTTGATACAAAATACGCCGTGCTATAATATGAAATCCCTCTGGCTTTATTTGAGAGAATGTGTAGGAGGGTTCAAGTCCTACAGAAAAAACGACTCCAGCAAAAACATAAAATGCTGGAATTCATAGTGAAATTTAACTTAATTTGTATTACAATGTAATACAGTGGATGGGAATCCACTAAATAGCCAAAACCTTAATTCCCGAGTTCGAGCTAATTTTTTCCGGAAGGGGCCGCTAAAAGAAAATGGTATACGTATAAATGTTATACATATAACGGCCGCAAAAGGCCGTAAAATAATTATCTATTTTCGGGAAAAATGCATTTTGAAAGTTATGCGCAGTGATCCTCGGTATATATAAATAAAGATGAAAAAAAAAAACCGAGAAGAATATACATAGTCAATTTTGTCGATAACGATATTTTTTTGAAGGGGAGGGTGGAAGGGGCTAAGCCCAAAAGACTACACGCGTCACCTCAACCGGATACGGGCGAGCGAGCGTTAAATCCGAGAGTTTACCTCGGCAAAACGGAGTCCCTTTTCTTTCTTTTTTCCTCGCTCTTCTTCAGCCACCGCTCATAAATTATACTCCGTTAACAATCACCGCCGTAATACACTATACATATATATATATATACACACACCTACTGGTAATAAATGATCGTACGATGACGTCCCGCCGGGCCAGAGTATAAAAATCCCTATACGCGAAAAATACCTTACACACCGCGATGAGACATAGTCGGAAGGAAACCACGTACACCTATGCACCTCTTCGTAGGTATGATACGTTCGACGATAAATGACTTTTCGAAAATAAACAACAAAATAATGTATCGAGCGATAATATAATATCGGTGTTAATGTCATTATCATACAAGTACGTTTTTCGATCCGTTAATAACTTTTCCACCAAAAATCATGCGCCGACCGTCAAATATTCAGGGTTGATTTCTACGGATAGCAAATAGTTTGTCTAGTCGGCCATGCGTCTTTGGGGAGACCGTCTTTAAATTCGAAGCGTATTGGTTTTACTATGATGTGTGTGTGTTTTGTTTTTGCATGTCCGCTTTCTTACCAGAAATCTTCATCCGATATATAAAGTACAGTACCTTTACCGAATGGAAATTTTGTCTAGATAGTACTATTCGGGAGTCATTTTTTTTAATTTTCCAAGGGGTTTTTGAAATAATTGGGAAAACCCCCAAAAAAAATTGATTAATATTTACGGCAACTTGACGTCCTAGTTTAATTGTTTTAATTAGTGCGAACAATGATTTAAACCAGAAATTTTGCTCCAATTAAAAAATTACAATTTATCAATTTTGTTCCTTTTACTATATAGCTACTGATAGAGAAAGTCATTTTTTAGTATCTAAAGTAGTTTTCATGATAATTGGAAAAACCAAAAAGGACCAAAAAATACGATTTTTTTTAAAAAATTACAGCGGAATGATTTAATTATTTAAAATGTTCAACAATATATTTTTCTACCAGAAATCTTTGTCCACATTTCAAGAATAGCATATTTTCTGAAAATAAATGTTGTCTAGATTCTGAATAAGAAAGTCGTTTTTTGATTTTCCGTAAAATTTTTCTAATTACAAGAAAAAAATGTAGGAAATACCGCGGCAAAGTGTACGGCATACGAGTTTTTTGTTATTATTTGGTTAAAAATTATTAAAGAGATTTGTAGTTTTGACCTTTAGAAGACGTGGTAAAATTTTCAAAAAATTCTAACTATTTTTAGGCTATTTATAGATATTTTATATTTTCGCGTTTTTACATGTATTTTCATTTGTTATATATATGTTACTAAAATTATATGACTTAAAAGAAATGTACTGAGATACATTATAAGTTTAACCTAGTGTTTTAAGAAACAAATTTGAGTTTAATGCATAAGTTTTTTTTTCAGAAGCGTTTTAAGATCAAATTTTAACGAAATCGTAAAAATTACGGCATTTCAAAACATGTATAACTTCGCTCAGAATCGTTTTTTGTAAGGAACGATTTATCTTTACTTACAGATATAAATTAAATAACCTTATATATCCTTCCTTTTTTTGTATTTGAGTGAAAATAATCGTAGACTTAATGAAACCAAACACCTGTATCACCATGTATCACTGTATAATTACTTGAGAGCATAGTCTATAATCAACTATATTCCAAATAACTGAATAATGGCCGAGAATGTCCTGGCAATTAGTAAATGATAATTTTATATTTTTATTAGATATTTCAAATTTTGAAATGTGTTTTTCAAACGATTATAAATCATTTTTTTTTTTTTTTTTCATAAATAATGGAAATGTATTGAAATTTAACTGTATATAAACTAATTCGTCATAGACAAAAAAAAAATCAAAGGGTACAAGATTTATAATCCCTATTTGATAATCATCGTTATCAATTTAGTTTAAAAAACCTGCTTATATTTTATCTTAGATTGCTAGAATAACCCGGAGTTAACCACTCTGTATTTCCGAACGGCAGTGCAGTTTACTTTTATATAATGAACGATACCAGAATTTGAACGCACTACTTTATGCCACAATAAATAAAGACATTTTGATATTCAGGAATGGTGTCTAAATATTATTATCTAATAATTTTGTTTTTGTATTGAAATAGTTAGATCTATCACCTAACAATATTATTCACAGACATTTTAGATTCTGAGTGAAGAAGCTAATGGTTTTACAAAGATGATTATTTTTTTTCTTTGTTTTATTTTTTTCTGTGGACAAATTTTCTACCAGAAGACTTGCTCCGATGTTTACGTGTAGCAATTTTTCTGAAAGGATATCGGTGTGGGGAGATATTTTAAACAAGTCATTTTTCGATTTTCTTCGGAGATTTTTCAAAAAATGTGAAAAACTGGGAAAAAACATAGGAAAACCGGGGAAATCAGTACAACGTTAAACATTATTATTAAAGAAATTATATGGAGCCTAATAATTATTTTACTATAAGTGGACAACTTTTCTATCAGAGATTTTACTTCGACTTTTAATATTTACAACAGTTTCTTCTAATCTTTTTGAAACTATTGGTCATTTAGAGAACTTTCAGTAAATTACAGACCACTTGATTGGCTGATGCCTTTTTTATTTTTTGTTATGGGTTGAAAACAAACCTTTAATAATACTTAATTTGCATAATAATATGGTATAAACTACCACTAAACTACCATAAACTAAAACATAAAACCTTAAACTTCTTCGCTCTACTCAGAATCTAAAAACTGATATTATTTTTCTCTAAAAAGTGATATAAATCATGTGAAATCAAAACATCCAATATGTCTTCAAGGATACCATTTATAAATGATATTATAATAACAATTAATGCATTATTTAAGGTATATTTACTATTTATTAGTTTATTATGTACCCATGAATACACTTTGCCATTATTGTTATAACCACCATCAAAACATATAAATTGATATGCTATTTGAATAATACATCATATTTGTTTAATTATCAGTTTAAAAAAAAAAAACACCAATTCCTAATATACCGATAATACCAATATCAGTATCAGCCGAGCGTACTATTTACACTATTTTCATATTTTGTATTCCTTGAACAAATAGTGATTTAAATTACAATTTAGGTATTTTTTTAACTGAAGGATCTAAAACAGTGTCGTATTTAGTGGGAGGGGACAACGGGAGTCAATCGCCACGGGCGCCAAATTCTAAGTCCCTAAAATATCCGTCACTAGAGGTTAAATTGTTTTCAAAATGAAGTGATACTAAAATAAAATAATTAATTTTTTAATATTTTATTTTATTAGATTTATATTGAGGTATTATATTATAAAAACAAATAGTGATAACAGATAAATAATGGCCTGAATCATAAATTCTTTGTTATCAGAATAATTTATTTGTCTACCCATTCTTGGTCTTAACCACGAACTTTATTCGTACCTACCGGCTACCATAATATATCTTTTATAAGTTATAGTGATAATAATAATAATAATAATTTATATTTATATTTATATAATAATTTTAATAACTGTTACTAATTGTTATCGTTATTTTCAAAATAACAGTTTAAACAACTACTGTTATTTTTACTGTTACTTTGAAAATAACGATAACAGTCATAACAGTACCTAAAATTGATAACAGCGGCCATTTGTTACTGTTAATTATTACTGCTAATCTATTATTACTTTAACTTTTATTATTGCTATTCATATTGTAGCAATACAATTTTACAAATACTAATATTTAGTTGTGTGATATAATTCAAAATCCCTAGACTACAGCATTACTCACAACCAATTTTAT